TCCAAGTGTTGCATTAGTGATAGAAAAGACTGCATGGAAAAGTGGGGGGTGAGGGGCAGAAAGTGGATTGCTGCAAATTAGTTTGTATGAGTTATTATTTTTTCCTGCCTTTTTCCTCTTTTGGTCTGTAGAGGCCTTTCCAAAGCAAAACCATCTTTTTATCCCAGCTGGTATGAGTACCAGGGTGTTGACTTGTACTGTTTTGCTGTGTGTCCTCAGGGGATTTGACTGGCTTGGAATCACTGATGATCCTATGAGATCTTTGCCCTAAAGAGAATTTAGTTTTTAAACTTCACAGATCTTTGGCATTTATTTTTTATGATCAATCTACTTGTTTTTAGTTTGTGAATACATGAAACAGGTTGGGGTTCAGGATGTTGGTTACTACTGTGGTGGAAGATAAGACTAGATGTAGGCAAAGAATATTATATTTATTTTTACTTGGAAGCATAACAGCCAAAATGAATTAATATTTTTTTGTATCTTCCAGAAGCTACATTCAGATTCCATCATCAAGGGATGAAAAATATTTTTAATGTTGTTTTTAACCTTGGGTTGATGGACATGATGTAAAATTGCAGTAAGAACAGCACCATTTTGGATAACATAGTTGTGTTGTAAACAGAGGTAAAATGTAGGGTGTATGTCAAAACTTCTAAGTGTTGAAATTGCAGCTGGTTTATCTTCAGCACATTTTTCTTGATGTTTATCTTGTTGAAGTACCTTATGCTTATAAACAGAAGATTCTGGGAATTACCAGCTGGATTCTAATCAAGCAGAAACTTTTGATATTGCCTTGGAGATAGAACTGGCCTATTTGCATTTTTTTTTCATCATGGGATAGGCATTTTCCACTGGATAAGTATTGTCCATACGTGTTGTTTTGGACTGCTAAGGAAACAAAGAGATTTGTTCCGAGATTATAAAATCAGCATCTTGAGGAAAAGGGAGGTCACAGTTTGCTTGGTTAATAGGTCTTTCATCCTGGCCTTAGGAAACAAAGCAAGTACATTTGTTGTGATGTTTAGGATATGTAGTAACCAGCAGGATGAGAGAGCTCTGTATACATTAAGTATTTTTTTGAAGTTTGAGGTAAAACTGTGGTGATTCAACCCTCTGAGCTCTCCCAAGTATAGCCAATATGTTTTTTCCAGGTTAAATACTGAGTGTGATCTTGGACCTGATTTTTTTTTTTTTTTTTTTTTCCTGGTATAGTTCATTGAAATACTTTTCTTCACATTTTCTTACAAGTTTTTGAAATATTTTGTGTCTGCCACTAGGAGAAAGAACTTTAGATTCATTATCTAGATCATGGTCTTTCAGGAAAGTGGAGCTGCATACTGTAGTTTGATATTTGATCACCCAAAGAGTGCACCATCTTTTTTATGTCTTTGAATATTTCTGCCGTTTTATGTTAGCTGAAAGCTTCATTGCAGAGAGGGCTTTTTTGTTTAAATTTGCTTTTTGTTTCTGATTGGAGTTGATGTAGTGCTATTTTATACTTAAAATTGGTGCTATTATCTTGACTTCTTACTAGTTTGGTTCTCTAAGGGGAAAAAAAAATCACAGTAAGTGTGTAGTTAAAAATTGCTGTAAAATATTACCCCTGTTCTCAATCAGCTAAATGTGGAAAAATTTACCAAAAAGCTTGAGGTATTGGTTTAGTTTATATATTTTTTTGAATATAAGGTAAATATAAAGAAAATATAACTGGCAAAATGTAAAATTTGTGAGTATGTATTTGAATACTGTGAATACTTCACTTAAAAACCATTCATGTAAGCTTATACTTACATGTTGAAGAAAGAAAATGTTATGCCACCCTGTAGGTTGCTATAAAGATTGTTTATGCAGCTCAGCATAGGACTTAAAATACATTGAATTGGAGAATTTTGAAAAATGTACTGTGCGACATGGGAGACCAAATCATGCTAAAGTGCAAGGAAAGACTATACATCAGTTCAAAGGCTACATTATTCAAAAAACTGCAACCATAAAAAAGGTAATAAGATTACATTCTCACACTTCATGGCTAGTAAGGTGCATTAAGCTGCTCAGATATTCATAACTTACTGTGACATTTGGGAAGATTACATTTTGCTGTGCACAGCCATTACTGCAGCTCAGATAATAACTAGCCAATGCACGGACCTGGATTATGATCCCTGTCATTGGAAACAAATTTGTGTTTTGAAGGTTGATCAGTTTCAAATCACCATTAGAAAGGGTTAATATGAAATACTGTGGGGGGTGTGTGTGCTTATGTGTATCTAATGGGCATGCATACATATAGTACATCAACTGCACTGTGCCTTTGGTATATTGCGTTCTCTCGTCAGTTTTTTTTGTCCTCACTTTCCTTAAAGGAAATGCTAAAATGGTAATTATTTCTACCATAGCATATTATTTCCAGAATGTACTTGCTGAAATGCTTATGTTTGCAGATGAGATTGGAAACCTAATTTGACAGCTTCCTGGATGGGTGGTTACTGATAATAGTGTATCTAGCCAAAAATGAAAGATTCGTGGTGTAGACTTATAGGGTGAAGGTAAGGTCACCTCTAGTTGCAGTATATGGTTTTGGTGTGATAATTGATGGTTGAGTTATAGTTAAAACTAAATGTGTAAAGAGTTGAATTTCTTGTTAAGAATTAGCAGGTGTTTGTGGCTGGAATTTAACCTTCAGCTATTCTGTCTGTACACAGAATGCAGTATTTTGTTTTTTACCTTGATGGCGAGATAGAGAATGGCTTGTTGAGCAGTACTTCAGTTTTGTAGAGAGCAATGCATTTAGTGTATTTTACATTTTCAAATGTTTTTGTTTTTTTAAGGGGTGTACTTTTTTCCTTGCATTTGTGTTAATCCATTCTGCTCAGCATTCTCCCTTGAATTCTACCTTACAGAGCTTTCTTGAGGTAGGCCTCTGCTGCATCTTATGGAAGGTGAAAACTGAGCTGTGGAGAATAATAATGACCTGATAGATTTGAGTGGACAGCATGAGTTGAGAAAACAAAAACTTGGGAATATAATTCAAGTCTTCACATTCAGTTAATGAAGTTTCCCTAGATAGTAAGGAAGCATCTGATAGTAAATTGCATAATTATTTTTCATCACCAAAAAGGGATTAAAAGTGTTTAGAAATTATCATGAGACATTGTCTATTCTGTCATAAAAGCAGTTACTTTCTCTGCTTCTTGTGGTGTTTGGCATTACTGTTTTATACTCAGAAGACCAAATATTGCTGCTTCTAAGTGACAAGATTTAGACACTTGAGGAAAATGTATTGTAATTTCAGTAGTTAATGAAGAACATATGTTCTGTTCCATTGCGTAGGTTTATCTTCAGATCCTGACTAGCTGTTGGAGCTCATATTTAAGCAAGTTAGTATATGCATTTTGGGGCAGTTTTGCCATGGTATGACTTTGGAAGTGATGGTACTGAAGCTGTTAATGGTCAAAGAATGTGAGAGGAGCACCATGTAGGACAAAAATAATGTTGTTTATTAGACAGACTTGTAAAAATGAGAAGGAGCTGAAATACTTTTTAGTGTGAATACATTTTGGTCATTTGACTCAATGCTATCTGAATTCCTATTGTGTGCTGTTATATAATGGATATTTTGGCAAGCATGGTAAGCATCAAGTTTAATACAGTTCTAAAGTCCAAGAAAAGTTTAAAAAGTGGAGGCTGGACGGAATTGGGGTAGAGGAGTTTAGTACAATCTTTCCTTCAGCTGGAAATCTTACTGAGTATACAAATGAGAATTAAATAGGTTCTTTCCTTCCCTCCTCCATGTCTTTGGCACGTGCATGTATGTTTAGTTACTCAGTGTATGTTCAAACAAAGCCTGCACCTAGGAGACCTGAAATATTACTAGATTTAAGTGCCTTAGCCAAACCATAGTCAAAGGCTTTAAACAGTGCTTCTGTTTCACGTTCATGCAAATATAGCAAGCCTTTTTTTCCTTTTAGTACTTGTGGCTACTATTGAAACTGGCAGTTAATACTTAACCAGCTTTATTCAATATCTCAGTCATGACTTGTACGTGTTATAAGTGGTAATATTTCTGACTTGAATCAGCTCCTTTTAGCTACAATTACCCTCTTATTTGAGGAGTTTTAAGCACACTAGAAGGAAAGCTTTTAGGGCCACTCCAGGCCATTTATGGTATCTTAGCTGACTTGGCTTTTTCATCTATTTTAGGACACTTAAAATCACAGAACAGTTTTGGTTGGAAAAGAGCTGTAAGATCATTGACTCCAACCATTAACCTAACTCTACAGAGTCCTGTGTTAAACCATGTCCTTAAGCACCACATCTGCACATCTTTTAAACTCCTCCAGGCATGGTGATTCAGCCATCTTGCTGGGCAGCCTGTTACCACTGTTTGATAACCCTTTCAGTGAAGAAATTTTTCCTCATATCCAATCCAAACCTCCTTGGCACAACTTGAGGCCATTTCCTCTCATCCTATCAATTGTTACTTGGGAAAAGAGACCAACCCTCACTTCAGGCTCCTTTCAGGCAGTTGTAGAAAGTGGTAAGGTCTCCCCTCAGCCTCCTTTTCTCCAGGCTAAACAACCCCAGTTCCTTCAGCCACTCCTTTGAAAGTCTTATTCTCCAGAGCCTTCACCAGCTTCATTGCCCTTCTTTGGACACCCTCCAGCACCTTGATGCCCTTCTCGTAGTGTGGAGGCACTTATTGGTCTCTTCACTTTTCATCTGTGTGGGGCAGCTCAGGACATCTCTATCTTGCACTACCCAGATTTTCTTCTGCAGCAATTATCTGATAGTAGGTGACACCCTAGGAGCACCTTTGTTGAAGGTGCTCATCAGAACTTGAAACAGAGGAAGGGTAAGGCTTGATATAATTCTGTTGGTCTCTTTATGTTTCTTTTTTAGCTCATGTCTTTTTCTTCTTGCAGAATGAATAACTTTAAACATGGAATGGTACCTTGATACAATTGTCTTAAGGTTTTTTTTAATCTTTTGTCTGAAAGCTTGTTGGAGGACAATTTGACTTGGAAATGAACTTTATCATCCAAGAAGTAGAGGGCATCACCTGCATGGTAGACTTGCTGGACAAGTGTGACATCACCTGCCAAGCTGAGGTGTGGAGCATGTTTACAGCGATCTTGAAGAAAAGTATACGCAATCTGCAAGCATGCACGGAAGTGGGGCTTGTTGAACAAGTGCTCAAGAGGATTGATAGAGCTGACAACATGATTGCAGGTACAGTTTCACTCAGTGTGTGACTGAAACCGTATTCCTTTTATGTAAAGTCTCATGGAAACATTTATTAAGTGGTAGAAATTTGACATTGCTTTTTATTAAGCATTTATATTGCTGTTCTTTTTCCTTTCAGATCTCTTAGTGGATATGCTGGGTGTGTTGGCTAGCTACAACTTGACAGTTCGAGAGCTAAAGTTATTCTTCAGCAAGCTTCAAGGAGAAAAAGGGAGATGGGTAAAAGAAAACTTAACTGAAACCATTTTTGTAGTGTTGCTTCTACTTTTCCTAGTATTTATAGGTTAAAAGGCTGTTTGATAACCTTTGTAATAAACAGATTTTAAATGTACCAAGAAATATAGGATGTTTTCTGGTATTATATGAATGAATCTTTTTACTTGCAAGTAATTAAAATACAGAGAATAGAATAGTGATGAAATTAAATTTCCTCCTGGATCTGTGAACTGAGTTGATCTTTTTGAACACCTGGGTATCATATGGTGACCCAAAGCAAGTGCTTTTATGCCCTTTTAAAAATAATTCCAGTTATAGGAAATGGAAGGAAAAAGGATTAACATTTTTTTTAAGATGGAAGAGAATAATTTAAGAAGTCTGCATAGGCAGTTCAATATGCTCCTATTTTCTTGCTGTTCTTTATCTGAAGCCTGAAAAAAATTACCTAGACAAGGAAGTGTGAATTTGTGGCAGAAATGGAAATTAAGGAAATAAGCTCCAGATGAAAAATCATATTGTGTGTTTTCTCCTGTTCCTGTGTGAACTGGAAAGGGAGAAGAAGGTGGTCTTTTGTTGTTGAGAACTTCCTTCCCGGAAGTAAAAATGTGTATGTTGTAGAGGCCACACAAAATTGTTGTTTTGCTGGAAATGGGTATTATTTAAATAATAATTTCATCTGCTTTGAATTTTAATTGAGCTCCTGCTGTCTCTAAATACTCTTCCTAGTGTAGAGAAAGGACAGCTGTGTCTCTATTGACTTCAAATAATTTTTAAAAAGGTATTTAATATAAAAGACATTATGCACAAATAAAAAGCAAATTTTAAAAGACCCTTTGAAATAAATAACTTTGGAGATCATAACTTGTGCAAATAAAAACACTCTAAACTTAATAGAGGGTTTAAACTTAATAATTGAACATACAGAGTATATTTAACCATAGATGAATTAAAGTTGTCTCTGTAACATTAACTTTTTCATTTCCTGTCTCTCTGCTATTTGCATTTAATTTCCTTTCTTTATGAAAGACTAATTATAGAGGAAAGGAGGAGAAAAATGCCACAATTGCATTGCTGAGGAGTTGCACAACTCCATAAATCATAAAATCAGCAGTGCTGTAAAGATACAAAGTATTTGGCTACAAAACAGATCACCTAGTTGAACTCTGTAGTGCTGAAGACTTCCAAGCAGTTCTCAGTGTTTCCTCCTCAATTTTTATTCAGGATTCATGAAGCACTGTTTACCTGACTATAGTTTTGGGACTTCGGTATGCGTGTTAGGGATCATGCAATGCTTAGTTTTCAGAGGGTGGCTGCTTAGAAGAGGGAAAACAGGACACTCTAAGAGAAAGACGTGAAGTGTAAAATCATAGTTTACAGATAGATCCATGGGAACATTATGGAGTGATAAAAGAAGACACACAAGATTGTTCTGTTGCTATGAGCAATATTTGCTGTACTTCTGTTGTTTTGGGCTCATGTACTTGATTTGGAGCTGATGGTTGCTGAATGTTACAACAAAATCAGTGCAGAATTAGGGTGGTAGTGGGGACATGTTAAGTATTCACACTAACTGAGCACTCAGTTTAGGTGTTCCAAACTGCCCTTCTGCACAGACTTATTTGAAGGGTTATATATAACCAAAGACACTTAGTATATGACTGCAGTCCTGATGAAAATAGTCCTGTCTGCTGATCCTCTCTCTCCCTTTTGCTAGGATTTTCCCATCTCCCTTGTGCTGGCAATGGCTTCATGTAGCCACAGTCCAAAACTGCTGGAACTGAAAATTGTTTTGCATTTTTTTTCCTGAATTAGTTTGCAGCTGGATCAGTTAATTTTCTTTAGCTCACAGAAAATTCAAACAAATAGTAGCACTGATGGGATTTAGGAGATAAAAGGAGGAATATTCAGGGTCAGTTTCATTTATGCTGGATGAAAGTGGCTCTGGTCTTTAAATCCTTAGTTAAGTTATTAATAGTATTTTAGTACCCCTACTGTGTGTTGTGTGACGGTATCCATGACTCTTTGTTAATATTGTTTATTGAAAGTGCTAAGTGTCTTAGCAGAGTATTACTCAACTATGAGAAAAACTTTAAAATGTGGCAAAATTAATTTTTTGTGTGTGTAGTCTTGTCTTTCTTATGGGTCTGTTTTATTTATTTACAAGTGCAATAATTCTCTTTATCAGCCACCTCATGCTGGGAAGCTATTGTCTGTGTTAAAACAAATGCCTCAGAAGTATGGACCTGATGCCTTCTTCAACTTTCCAGGAAAAAGTGCTGCAGTATGTAGATATTTTAAGTCTCTTGTTTGTTCATTTGTTGTTTTGTCAGGGCCATTGGTTATTTTCATTTGTGGTGTTTTTTTGTTTCATCTGTCATTCTCATAGGTGAAGAGTTTTAACCAAATTTTCCTCTCTGTCTGACACCTACATTATGCCTAAATAAATCACAGAATCACAGAATATTAGGGGTTGGAAGGGATCTCCGAAGATCATTGAGTCCAACCTCCCTGCCAGAGCAGGACCAAAAAACCCTAGGGCAGATCACTCAGAAAGACATCCAGACAGGTCTTGAAAGTCCCTAGAGAAGTAGACTCCACAGCCTCTCTGGGGAGCTTGTTCCAGTGCTCTGTAACCCTCACAGTGAAGAAATTCTTCCTCATGTTGAGGTGGAATTTCAGTGCTTGAGTTTGAATCTATTTCCCCTTGTCTTAAATCCTTAGTTAAGTTATTAATAGTATTTTAGTACCCCTACTGTGTGTTGTGTGACGGTATCCATGACTCTTTGTTAATATTGTTTATTGAAAGTGCTAAGTGTCTTAGCAGAGTATTACTCAACTATGAGAAAAACTTTAAAATGTGGCAAAATTAATTTTTTGTGTGTGTAGTCTTGTCTTTCTTATGGGTCTGTTTTATTTATTTACAAGTGCAATAATTCTCTTTATCAGCCACCTCATGCTGGGAAGCTATTGTCTGTGTTAAAACAAATGCCTCAGAAGTATGGACCTGATGCCTTCTTCAACTTTCCAGGAAAAAGTGCTGCAGTATGTAGATATTTTAAGTCTCTTGTTTGTTCATTTGTTGTTTTGTCAGGGCCATTGGTTATTTTCATTTGTGGTGTTTTTTTGTTTCATCTGTCATTCTCATAGGTGAAGAGTTTTAACCAAATTTTCCTCTCTGTCTGACACCTACATTATGCCTAAATAAATCACAGAATCACAGAATATTAGGGGTTGGAAGGGATCTCCGAAGATCATTGAGTCCAACCTCCCTGCCAGAGCAGGACCAAAAAACCCTAGGGCAGATCACTCAGAAAGACATCCAGACAGGTCTTGAAAGTCCCTAGAGAAGTAGACTCCACAGCCTCTCTGGGGAGCTTGTTCCAGTGCTCTGTAACCCTCACAGTGAAGAAATTCTTCCTCATGTTGAGGTGGAATTTCAGTGCTTGAGTTTGAATCTATTTCCCCTTGTTCTGTCACAGGGCACAAGTGAAAAGAGGTGGTCATGCTTATAATAAATGTGCATTATCACTCTAGAAGAACCAATAAAATTACATAAAGCATTATTATAAATGAGTAGTCTTTTGGTTTGTCATGGGTTGTTTTTTGGTTGTTTTTGGGGTTTTTTTTGTTTGTTTTTGTTTTGGCCAATTTTTTTCAGACTGTTTCAGTTACATAGTTTTGCAAGGAGGATCTGCCTGCTTTTCACTCCCATATCTCTGTGGGAATGGTGCTTGTGTTAGTATCCAGTATGTGTGAGAGTGGCTTTGTGGTGGCTTGGCCTTGGCTGGATGCAAGGTACCCACCAAGCTGCTCTATTGCTCCCTCTCTCCAGCTGGGCAAGAGAGAGAAAAAAATACAATGAAAGTCTCATGGTTGACAATAGGACAGGTAGATCACTCACCAGTTACAGTCACAAGCAAAACAGACTCTGCTTGGGAAAATTAGTTTCTTGCCAATCAAATCAGAGTAGGGTAATGAGAAATAAAAATGAATCTTAATATACTTTCCCTTCACCCTCTGTGCTTCTCAGGTTTAACTTCACTCCCTGTTTCTCTACCTCCTACCCCAGGTGCCACAGGGTGATGGGGAATGGGGGTTGCGGTCGGTTCATCACGTGTTGTCTTTGCTGCTCCTTGCTTTTCACACCTTTCTCTGCTCCAGCATAGTAGCCCAACCTTCAGGGATAGTATTCCACGAACTTCTCCAACATGTGTCCTTCCCACGAGGTGTAGTTCTTCAGGAACAGGCTGCTCCAGTGTGGGCTTCCCACTGAGTTGTAACCTTCTTTGCACACAATCACCTCCCCTGGCATGAGGTCCTCCACAGCTGTGTGTCCACATCTGCTCTACTGCAGTGTATGGGCTGCAGGGGTTCAGGCTGCCATCTCGCCATGGGCTGCAGGGCAATCTCTATTCCAGTGCACCTCCTCCCCCTCGTTCCTCACTCACTTTGATGTCTGCATAGGTGTTTCTCTCACATACCACTCCTCTCTCTGTTGCAGGTCTTTTAGCAGTTTCTTTTTCCCCTGCCTAAATATGTTACCACAGAGGCCATATCCCTGTTGCTGATGGTCTTGGCCTCAGCCAGAGGCGGGTCTGGCTTTGGAGCTGGGGGAGCCTCTTGCAGCTTCTCACAGGAGCCATTACTGTGGACCCTCTCCCACTACCAATGCACCTACACATAGACCCAATGCATTAAGAAGTGCTGTGCAGATTCTTCTGTAGGAATAAGAAGTATATCAACAATTTTGCTTCTAAAATCATAGGATGAAATAGGATGTTGAAAATTTCATGCTTAAGTCAGAGAAAGATTTGAGTAAGATTTATCAGATTGCTCCAGTTTTCTTTGCCTAAATCCATTACCTTTCTGCCTTGGTGACTTGAGATTAAGCTTCAGCAACTTGATGGCTTCATGATTTTATTTTTTATGAGAACTTGAGATTGTAAAACATGGACTACTGGAAAAATACTACTGCAGCTGTATGTTTATCACATGCAACAGAACTTGGCCATAGACATGCTTTTGTTCCTTTTGGTTATTATTTTATTGTTTTTGTATTTAACTTCTAATAATTGTGTTGTATGCTTGAACCATATGTGATATTGGGGTGCCTCAGTAACCTTAATGTTAATATTCTCATATATTTTTAAATTGAGAAGTCTTAGAAATTTAGTGTTTAATGTAATTACTCCAAGATCCATTGTGAGCTAAAACAAATGAAGGTGCTACCACTTGCCAAAGGCTGGGCTCAAAGACATGCAGACTGACTAGTTAGCTGGTATAGAGAAGGATTTATAGCATTTTGTTTGGACATGGATAGCTGAATGGAGCGTGGGAGCATAATAAGGAGTCTGGAGACACTCAAGTTCTTTGATGTTTTTTGTTCATTGGTATTGATCATCTGGACAGCATCTTTGATCAGGGGTTATGGCAGTCATAGTTGAAGTGTGTATTGCAAGTCTGTGCAGCACAAGAATGAAAAGTTAATAATAATGTTAAAATAAACCCAACCAAAAAAAAAACAACCCACACAATAAAATCCGACTGAAACAAAGGAACCTGCCACACAGCTTATAACTTCAGAGCTTTTGAGGTAACATAAGCACAGTGTATTGATACAAAGATTTTGGATTGTATTACCTTTCTTTTTAAGAAAGTCTGTAAGTCTGTAATATTCTAACTGGAAGGCTATGTAGACATGAGTTTCAAGAGAGAAAGTGAACTCCTAAGTGAAATGTATATGATTCTCTTTTTGTGGCATGCTTTTTTTCATAATTGGTGATTTACCTGAAAACCAACTCTATGTGAAAATAAGTTTATAGATAGATTATTCTGTCAGGTTACCACAAAACAAAACCAACTTGCATTTTGCATTTTTATGTTGTAAAGTTTCCACTAAAGCATTTAATTTTTAAAGTAGAGTTTACTATTAATAATCTTCTTTGAGATATCAAGACCAGTTTTTAAACAGTTAGATCAAGTAAATATTTTAACAATGGAGTACAAAAATGAGAGAGGTTAGGCCAGATATTGTTTAGGGTAAAGGAACTTTACACATTTGTAGTGTATGAATTTGTAATGTGTATCTGTAGATCAATATACTTCTGCAGTGTATATTTTAAGGTATATACTTTTACTATTGTGATGTTGACCTTTCTACATGAGTATCTTTTTGCTTTCTTTAGGCTATTGCCTTACCTCCTATAGCCAAGTGGCCATACCAAAATGGGTTTACTTTCCACACTTGGCTAAGAATGGATCCTGTAAATAATATCAATGTGGATAAGGATAAGCCTTATTTATATTGGTGAGTTTATGTAAACCCATATTTCTGATGTTCAGTTTGTATTAATTGGTCAGTGATTTCTGCTTTCATCTGTGTATGTGCTGATTTTGTTTCTCTTTGTTAGTTTTCGAACAAACAAAGGACTTGGTTATTCTGCTCACTTTGTTGGAGGCTGCTTGATTGTAACATCCATAAAATCAAAAGGAAAAGGTTTCCAGCATTGTGTAAAATTTGATTTCAAGCCACAAAAGGTGAGTAAAAATAATAATCTTTCAAACACATTTCATGAATTAAAAATGTAGTCTAGAGAGGCAGTGTTGTAGGTATTGATTAGGTTTATCTTTCTGTGTAAGAGTAGGGACACTGGAACAAGCAAAACAAATTTTTGTTCTGAATATTCTTTGTTCTTAGTGTTTCATATGAAATGCATAAGAAAGAACGAGAAAATACAGTTTACCAGAAGTTGGATGAATTTGTGAGACTTGTGTGAGTTCTTTGAGAACTCGCTGTTCGTATTAACAGTTAATGGTTGGGCTTTGTGATCGTAAAGGTCTTTTCCAACCAAAATGATTCTGTGATATTTGGAAGTTACAAGGCTTGTGTGTTTTTGTTTCCGTTTATACTTTGTTTTCACCCACCTCCAGACATTCTCTTTTCCTAATGGCTTTTGCTAAGGCTCCCATTTATGTCATTACATATTTGATGGGGACAAATGCCGTGTTATTTTAAGAAATCATAATTACTATCCCAGATTGCATTTTTCTAATCAAGCTAGGACCATTAATACAGGTTTGATCTTCTTACATGTGGGAAAATAACAGATTCATTCTTGAAAGAATCTTTTACTTCATGTTCATTCAGGTTGTCCAGAAAATAGTCTCTTTGATTTGGTGCTTTATTCTATGTATTCTTGTAAATGTAAGAATGAAAATAAAAGCTCATTTTATTATTTATGTTAAGGCTTGCTGGCCTATTAATTAATATTATGCTATATTGAAAATGTCTCCTTTTTCAATTAAATATTCTGCTAATGTTTCTGGAGAAACATTTCATGGAAGAATAGACCTCCTCAGGAATTTTTTATCTGTAATCTTTTGCTGTAAATATGGATTCTCTTAATTCTGATAATTTGACATGTGCAGCCTTTGAAAGTCTTTAGTCTGGAGCAATCCTTGCTCTTTGGATTGTGACATTTGCAGTAGTCCATCATGCTGAGTAACCCAACTTAAATTTTATTTGCACAGTGGTTTCAGTGTCAAATTTGTTGCAGCATTGCCATGAAGATTTGTGGAGTTCTATGCCATAAAAATCTTTTAAGCTTCAGTGTCTGCTTTTTGTGGAAAAAGATGGCATGTTATCCTTAAACATAACGATGCAGGAAAACTCACCAGTGACTTAAATCTTTTCAACTTTAGTCTTTCTATCTTAATTTAATTAAAATAATGAGTTGAATTTGTTCTACTATGCCTCACTTTAATGCTTAAGCTACTTTAAGTGTCCATAAAGTGATATCCATTGTTTTCTTATCATTTAGTGGTATATGGTTACTATAGTGCACATCTATAACCGATGGAAGAATAGTGAACTTCGATGTTATGTGAATGGGGAACTGGCATCTTATGGAGAAATAACATGGTTTGTCAACACCAGTGATGTAAGTAATCCCTCTATACTAATATGTACATCTGATAATCTTGCTGGATTAAGTAGATACCCTTTGACGTTTTATTAATAAAAATAAAAAAAATTGAAATAAAATTATTTCTGGTAGAGGAGCAGATTCTGCTTTTATACATCTCAGGAGTTAAAAGTTGCTTCTGCTGAGACTCTCAAATGCCTGTTTATGTAAAAATAATAATAACTGATAATATGTGTATTCTTTGTATAATTTGCTTATGTAGCATAGATAAAACCCTTTTAATGAGTTCTGTTTTGTTTTCAGACATTTGACAAGTGTTTCCTGGGTTCTTCAGAAACAGCTGATGCCAATCGAGTGTTCTGTGGGCAAATGACATCTGTTTACCTTTTTAGTGAGGCTCTCAATGCTGCTCAGATCTTTGCCATTTATCAGCTTGGCCTGGGGTATAAGGTATCTTAGAGTTGACTGATAAGACTCCTTATGGTGTGTTTTAAGAATGTTGTGACACCTCTATGTTCTAAAAATCTTCTTTCTTTGTAATTTTAGTCAACTTTTCCATGTTTCTTCTATAAGCCTGTGTCTTCCCTTGCATTAGACATTAATTCAATTATTTAATTTCTTATAAAAAATAAATTTATGTTCCTGTTTAACCATCAGAATTTCTCTGCTAGTTGGGAGAGGGAGGAGAACACCACTGTTTTCTCTGGCTAGATTAATTTTTTTCATTGAGGCTGAAAACTATAGATCAAGTGTTTGTTTTAGAAATGTAGCTTTTTAGTTGATTGTGCTAGTCAGTTTTTTTTTAATGTGTGAGGTTAGTGCCAAGGATTAGTTTTGTTGTAGTGATTTATTATTTGTTTTGCCATAGCCTGGGGGGCACTAACTGAAGACTGTTATTCCTGAGCAGCTGTACAAACATACACTAAAAAAAAGATGGTTCTTAATCTATCTGCTCCTCAATTATTAGTTCCTTCTGAGTGAACATTGCTGACTGTCATTCTGTTTCCTTAGCTAATGTGTTTCCTTTACATTACCCACCGTTTGGGCAATGTCACTCTTCAGGGGTCAAAAAAAAATTCTGCAGTAAAATTCTCTGTAAAATTGACTGAGTCACAGTTCTTATGAGACCCCTTCTTTCTGGAATATGTCTAGGTTGAAGAAACAATGTTTTAGTAATTTTTGGCAATAGTTGTGTTCTGAAGTTCATTCTCAATGCCTGTAATCTAATTGTTTTCTTTTTTCCTTCCTTAACCCTCCTCCCCAATCCAGGGAACATTCAAATTCAAGGCAGAAAGTGATCTCTTCCTTGATGAACATCACAAATTGTTACTCTATGATGGCAAACTATCCAGTGCTATTGCTTTTATGTACAATCCAAGGGCTACAGATGCACAGCTGTGTCTAGAGTCATCCCCTAAGGATAACCCTTCTATTTTTGTTCATTCACCACATGCCCTCATGCTGCAGGTATTTAATTTTTGTAGATTTGGAGGATAACAATTATTTATCTTTGAAAACCTAAAAATCAACTTTTGTAGGGATTTGGATAAGATAGTTAACTAATGATAGTTTGGGTTTATTTGGTTGTGCCTGGTGCTACTCCCCTGTTTCTTGAATTAATGTGGAATCACTAAGAAAGAAGTTTATTCTATCAATGTTGCAACCTAAAAATTGTCAGTATTACAAAGACTGTGTTAGTTTAAAAAAAAAAAAAAAAAATCCTTGTTCCTAATTTATGTGTTCACTTCCTTACAGAAATTTTTATCTGCCATCCTCTGGCCTGTTGCTATGATAGCCTTTTCTTCCCTGTGCTTTGAGTGTTTAATTTTTGTCAGGAAATGTTTATGTTCTATTTTAGTCTCTCTATTACTAAAGGCTTGTTTTAGAGTTTATCAGCAACCTTCTGTATATTCATCTGAGGATCTACACTGTAGACTGTATCTAAAGCAGTAGGTCAGCCAGACTGGGTGTTTAGTGTGGCTGTGACAGTCAGTTTGTACTTATGTCTTTTATTTGGTAATAACACAATTTTTATATTGAAGAAATTTCAAGCTATTTCTAACTAACTTTTTAAGAGCTTCTGAAGGAGATTTCAATTTTTCTTTATTCTTCTTTGTCAGGATGTGAAAGCAGTCTTAACACACTCTATCCAAAGTGCCCTGCACTCCATTGGAGGCGTGCAGGTACTTTTCCCTCTCTTTGCACAGTTAGACTATAGGCAGTATTCATCAGACCACATTGACACAACTGTTTGGTGAGTGCACATACTTATTGTGTTCTGTTCTTTGTTTCTTTTTAAGTAAAGGAAATTACCTCTTGCTTTATTAAGTGACAAGGTGGTTTAAATTGTCTTGTGCAACAATGAATTATGTCTAACAGTAAAAAGGTGGTCTTGTTACAGACAGAACTTCAAAGTGAGCTGTTTATTTGTACCAAATTTTCTATGAATGTTCACACAGAATGAAAATATACGCATTTCTGCTTCACATGTTGTGTGTAGCAGAATTACAGAACATTCTCTTGAGCTTATTCCTATCATGCAGAAAATCTACTGGGGAAGGCTTCAAGTGAAAATCCAGGAAGGATAAATTTTTCAGATATGTCACGTTTTTCCTTGGATTTTTGGTTTGTTTTGTTTTTCTTCTTTCAGACGTCTGGGAAGATAATGTTTTTAAGTGTTACTCGCAGGCTTTTTCTCTGGTTTCAGTTCTGTTTCAACTCAGTCCACCTTCTGAACATCCTGGCACATAAACTGGTGGACATTCTAACAGTAGTATTAATGGCAAAGGGATTGCACTTTAGAATTGCTATGTAGTTGGCACTGTTTCATTGCAACTAGTTTCATGACTGTTTCAGAACTATCTACATCCATATTGTTGCTAAAAAGGAAGTGGTCACAATGTTCCTTCAACCAATTGGCACACTCCTGGGCCTTTCTTGAGCTGGCTCAGACTTGGGCATGTATGTGATGAGTCAGATATTTGATTCAGTTTAAAACTGGCCCAGCAATAGAGGGCTTGTCTGTTGGCTAAAGTCTTGATTCATAGGCACTAGTGGTGTGACACAAGGGGAGGGGTGCAAACATTCCTTCTGGCAGCAGCACAAAGTTGAATTTGATTGAGCGAATAGCAAAGCTGTGTCTAGAAAAGTATTTCCAATATCTGTTCCTTCTGAAGCAGTAGGAAGTGCAATGGTGTGCACTACTGATCTTGCATAAGTTTGTAAGTTAAATAGAAAGCAGAGAGAACTACGTACTTACCTGTTGCTCTGCAAGTACATGCTTTCAGAATAATCCTGCAATTTCACAGTTATCTGAGAATCCAGAATTGCAAGTTAGAAATGTGTTAATTAAAGGCAAGAAGTTAGAGCTTTCGAAGTTAGTCTTTTTGTTTCAAAAATTCTGATCTGAGCACTTGTGTAACATGTTCAGTGTACCTCCGGGCTGTGTGATGGAAGTGCTAAGTCGGAAATACTTTGTCTCATTGTAACCCCCTTTTTTTTTATTTCCCCCCCAGTTCTACTTTATTGGCTTTCATCATGGAGTTGTTGAAGAACTCCATTGCTATGCAAGAACAGATGCTTTCCTGTAAGGGCTTCCTTGTGATAGGATATAGCCTAGAAAAGGTAAAGCAAATCTTTCTTAATGACTTACATTACATTAATGTTGAATTTTTTTTTCAGAATAATACTTTTCCTAGATTATTGCAGAGCACTTCCTTAAGCAGATTATCTTTTACAGTCTTCCAAAGCCCATGTTACCCGAGCTGTGCTGGAACTTTGCCTTGCCTTTTCAAAATACCTGAGCAACTTAAACACAGGGGTGCCCTTACTGAAGCAGCTGTGTGATCATGTTCTCCTTAATCCTGCAATATGGATTCATATCCCAGCACAGGTAAAATTGCTTATTCTTATTCATAATAAGTATCTTATGCTGTATCAATTTGGGAGTGTTGAGACTAAATCTGACCTCCAAGATTTATAGGTCCCAGCTCTCTAGCAGAAATCATACAGGAACTGTTTTCACCCTCCACTTTCCTGCATGTAGCTGTCAAATTTTGCAGACTCCCAGCGTTTTCAGGGAGTTTGTAAAACTGCAGCATTCTCCAGAGCAGAGTTGGGAGTGACTTGTGGAGTCCCTGACCTAGTCAGTGTTGTACATAGAGAAGGAATCTTGGATGGGTCAGGTTGCAGAAAGCCAGAAATTTTATATTTATCCTAGTTGTCAGATTTGAAGTTGTTATTTAAATGGACATATTTGCCTCACAATATTTTTGTTTTGGTGAATCTGTGTTCTCTTAAAATGAACATCTTGGATGGAAACTTGCCAGTTGGTTCCAATTCAATTTTCTTATCAGATTTTTTCTATCTCCTCCATAAGGGTTTCTTTTGCATTTCAAAAACTGAGACAGCACCAACAATGCAAATGTTTAAGTCATCATAAAAATCTGTTTGTTACAGCTAAATTAAATTATTAAGTACTAGGTAAGTCATTATTTCTCAGAGATGAAGGGGAAGAAGATATATAAATAATTAAGCCTATAAAGAATACTTAAGCCTGTAATAAATGAGCACCTTTCTATAATACTTCATGTGTGACCTTGTTCTGAACAGAGTGGTTGGACTTGCTTATCTCCAGAGGTGTCTTTAAATCTCAGCTATCTGTGATTGTGTGAATGCTGTGCTGTCATGTTTTTTGAGCCTGGACCAGCTTAAAAAAAACCCACAGCACTCTATAGTTTTAGAACTAAAAATAAATTTTTCATCAGTTTGCAAAGTTTTTAAGAGCTTTGTCACTGAACTATGCAGAGAAAATCTGCTTCTCAAAGACATTTTAATAGATGGAATTTAAGAATGCAGATGTCTGATGTGCTGCAATTTTGCTGTAATGATGCTGCATCTCCTGGTTGTGTGTTGTAGGTTCAGCTGACCTTGTACACTTACCTGTCCACTGAGTTCATTGGGACTGTTAACATATATGGTGCAATCCGGCGGGTTGGGACAGTTCTTTTGGTCATGCATACCCTGAAGTATTATTACTGGGTAGTGAATCCTCAGGATCGCAGTGGTATAACTCCCAAGGGCATAGGTACGTATTAATTTCTACTCTCAGGAGCTGATGCTTGGTTTAAAAAAAATGTGTACAAGGTATCGAATAGAACTGTAAATGTCTTGGAAAGACTTGTATTTAAATGTGATGGGTTCGATGTAACAGTTTGAGCAGTGTACTTTTGTCCTTAGGATATTCTTGGAAGAAATCATATCCTCTGTCCCCAAAGACCTGCATGAATTAAAATGAAATAGAACTGATTAGACAAAGGGTAGGGTTTTGAAAGTGCAGAGTTTTGCCTGGGAATGTGGTCTGTTTTTGGAGCTTGTTCCAGTACTGGACAGGATTTAAGTGCTTGTAAGTTCTATTTATAATAGCAGTGTAGCTGAAAACAGGCATACTGAGTCCTATCACAGGCATAGGAATCCGAACTTTGTTGAAAACTGCTTAGTAAGCGTGCTTAATTCAGACAGTGAACTCATAGTGAAAGAAGTAATAAGAAATTTAGAACAGGTATTTAGTACTTGTTGTACAGAATATAGAACAAGAATATGGATTGGTCTTACGAGAAGAGTCTTAGGGGTAGCCCCTTGAGTCAGAAATCCAGTACTTTAGAAGTGGGAGAAGGAAATGTGCAGCACCATAGCATAAACACATGGAGGTGGAACTGGCATAGATAGTGGAACTGATGCTTTTTGGAAGTATGGCTTTACAACTCTTCTAATTCTGCAATTTACGGGGCTGGGCATGCAGCCGTGGCAAAGGCACCTCTCCTTTAATGAAGAAATGCTCTGAGAATTTCAGAGAGAGCAGCAGGGGATGAAAGAGAGCTAGAGGTACTGGGAATGGGTGCTCCTTAGATGTCTGACTTCTGCCACTGACTCTTCAGAATGATCAACCATTCCTGTTAGAGTATTGTAAAGATTGTTTTGTAGTATTTTACATCCTGTAGGGAGTAAAGCATGTGTTTCTCCTTTCTTTTTTAATGAAGTCATGGATTTACTTAATTAGTTTCTGAACTGATTTATTGACCCTGAGGCAAGTATATGTGTAGGCTAGTCTTACTAATTCAGTTTAATGGCTTATTTTGACTAGACTGATCTATATGGAAAATAAATATTCTTAAACAAAATATGCCTGTGGGCCTATACTGTATAAAACCAGACTCTTATGATCACTTATATTTGCTAGTTGATTTGCTTTTTCCTATGATCATAAGAACTGTGAACCTGTAAGCAAGTGTAAAAACTGTCCCTAGAATGTATTCACAGCAATTCATTTGCTTTCTGTAGAAAAGCTTTTACTTGGCTTTGACAGTTGGTTGCACCTGTTTTTTTAACCTTGCCTCTCCTGGGAGCTACTCAGTGTGTGAGTATTTAAAATGTTTCAGTGAAGGTCTGCTTTACACAGGAATGGCAGAAGCAACTCCTTTTGACTTGGAGTTAACAAATTAAGTAATGGATTTCTTTATATACAGCATTGTAAGATTGGGTTTTATTATGTGCATCACCAACGTATAATAACGGCATGTACTTCTTCCTTTGTGCTTTAGCAGAACTTTGAAAACAATTTTAAGTTGAAAAAAACTGAAATCTGGAATTTTGACAGAAGGTTTTTCATATCAGTCATCAGTCTTATTCCTTGCATGAAGTTGGTTCTTAGACATCGCAAAGAAGTGGTAAAATAATGAAAAGAATTTAGAAGGGTTTAAGTAACTGTGTTTAATAAAAACCTTAGTAGAACCTCAGTGGCTGGGCATTTTGCAAGTAAACAGTGATAACATGCATTACAATTTTGAGCCTGAAGTGGAGGAAAGAGAATTTAGAACTCTTCACACAGAAAATGCTTTTCATTTCTCTATGTGAAAATGCATACACTGCTAATAACAGACCTTAATTTCCTTTTTGTGTATCTACTTTTTTCTTTTGTAGATGGTCCACGGCCTACTCAAAAAGAGATTTTATCTCTGCGAGCATTCTTGTTGATGTTCATTAAACAGCTAGTGATGAAGGTAGAGTAACTTTAAATTATGGTAGGATATTTAGATCATTTGTGAAAGGATAGCCTTTCATAACAAAATGCACTTCAACATAGCATTTTTTTCTAAGCGTGGTGAATTTTGTAAACAAGTAAATAGAAATACCATGTAAGGTGCATCTTCTTATTGTGACTCTTAATGTAGACAGCAGTGCCAAAGATAAGTTTTTCTGCCTTTTAAGCTGTTTTAATAAAAAATGGAGTGGTTAAATAATTAACTTAGAAATGTTTACTATGAGGGAAGTAGTATTTGATTAATATTTGTTTCTGACAAGAGCAGTATCACCTGTATCAGAAGAAGTGTTTAAAGGGCAACATTTGACTTAATATGTTGTGGGTCAGTGGTACAGAGGAGGATAAGAAGTTTCACAACTGTTAGACATTAGAGGAATATTGAAATCCAGCAATTTAGTGCTTATGGAGTCTTTTTAAGCCTTTCCTCTTGTAAACTCTGCTCTTTCTTCTCTCTCTTCTGCACACTGTCTTTTCTGTATTTGAATCCAGCTCCCTTTTCCCCTCTTCCTCTCTCTTGCTAAGGAACCAGTATGCTCTCTGCTTCTACCCTGAGCCCTAGCAGTATGGAGAAGTAGCTACTGGAAAAGTTCTACTCTTGACCCTTGTACTCTCTTTAAATTGGATGTTCTGCAATTAAAATATCAGGGACAATTTACCTATCAAACTCTAGAAGACTTTCATTAAACTTTAGCTTCATTTTAATTTTTATTATTTTATTAAAATGTCTGTTAGAGATGGATAACTTTGACAGTTTTGGATAGAGTTTCACAAGTACAGTAAAAAGGTTGTCCATCATAGAAGACTGATTATTCTACAAGTTTTCTATGTGTACACAGTGGTGCAAAATCTTTTCAGGAAATGAGAGACTTCTTTTAAAAAAATAAAAGCTCTAGAAATGAAGAATCCTGATTTTGCTTTCACTCATTGTATTCTTAGAAACTGTTGGCTTTTGTTTTGCTTTCAACAAAAAGACCTCAAGGCATATTTCCAACGTAGATGTCATAAGTTATTTAAATTTCTGCGGAGTTGATGGCAACCTAAGATAGGATTCTGTAGTGGAAAATAAGAAGCAAACTCATCTTTAGGCATGGTTAGCAGGTTTGTAATTAAATATCCAGGTCTACTTTTGAATCCTCTTTTCTGCCTTCATTTAATTCTTCTATTAACAGGAAGCTCCCAGTTCAAATTACCTGTATCAATTAACATATGTTAATCTAACAATTTCATGTACTATATTAGTATTCAGCTTATTTTTATACCTGTATTGAAGTTGTCTTAATACACTTTTATAACCTTCAGTGGATGTTTTTTGGGCATGGAAAAAGCTACCTTCCATCTATGAAGCTATTGTAGTACCAGGGGAAAACAAAGTTGTTTTGTGGATCTTGATCAGTATATAACCATGGCTCGTAATAATGCTTTTTTTGTGATAGTTAAAACCTGATTATTTTTTTTTTTTAAAGGACTATGGAATAAAAGAAGATGAATTGCAAGCTATCCTCAATTATCTGCTCACTATACATGAGGTAATTAATTTGAGGGGTATTGGGGGGGGGGCACAGAGGTATTACTTCTGCTGTTTGTGACCATCAAATGTTTGAATTTTTTCAAATATTGCCTTCTTTATGCCACAAGATGGCTCTGTAGAGGAAATAGCCAACATGGTCCAACTCTTCAGTGTAATGTGCTGAATTGCCAATATTCTTGCAGTGATTTAAGCACCACATTCAATGTTAGATTGAAGTTCATTAAGCCAGTAAGTCAAAATGGTTTCTTATGTTGTGCTGCAAACTGATTTACTAGGCAGAAAAACAGATGGTGAGACTGACTTAAAAAAACCCAAAACAAAACCGTGTTTTATGCTGCGTAAATAATATTTTTGGTTTGTGTTTTTTCTCTTTCTCCTTTTTATTTTGCTCTTTAAATAAGCAATAAAATTGAAAACATGCATTAAAAATAAGGATGTATGTTAATGGCATCTAAGAGAAACATGTAGACTTAATTGGGAGAAAATGTTGGTTACCACTGGCACATCTGCATCTTCATATTTTAGCACCAGGAAAAGGCACTTTATGCCAGATGCAACATCAAAGACAAGGGAAATGGGGACATAAATCTTACTGATCTCATCTTTGTAAGGGTGCTTGAAATCTGTAAAATAAGGAATTAATTGAATTTCAAGCAGCTTGGATTTTTTGTTTTGTTTACACCTATGTTTTCCTTTTATTATCTGTTGCTGGTTACTGTTATCTGGTAGTACCATGGTCAAGCAATTCAAGTCTTTCTGCTTTAAATAGACATATAAAAAAGAAGACCCTTGGCATGTAAGAGTAAACCAAAATATCAGAAGCTTTGTTTAGCCTTCAGATGAGGAGGTGATACTATCTTAGAAGTTTGCATGGCCAAGTCTAAAAAAGTCTGAAAGATCTGTGAAAGCTGAATTGCACGGAATTAGGTATCTAGTTACAAATTCAGGAAAACATAGCAGGAGAAGGAAAAGTTCAGTCTTCTCATGTAGCTCATTCCACACTGAGTGTCTGCAATGTACGCCAGTCATATCATCAGGTGACTGCAGTGGTTCAGGAGGTGTAAAACTGGTTCTCTAACAGTGAAGAATAAGAATATTTGTTGGAAAGTGTTTGCTCTGTAAAAAAAAATAAGTTTTCATTTTAATACCAGAAAGAATGGAAAAAGGTGACAGTTGCATTTTGCTACTTGGTAGGTTATTTTTAGTTAAAATTAACTTTGAACAAATAAATAAACTGTAATTAGAGTGCTTGAGACTAGTCGGATGAAAAACTTTACTGAGCAGCTTAAATTAACCATTTAAAATATTGTTTGTGGCAGGTTGTGGTATTTTTTTCTTCCTCGGCTTAGACGTTTGTTGGTAGAGATTTGCATTAAAAACACCACTCTGTGCCTCATAATATGTGCAGCAGTTTATTTCTGGGTCCTACGCTGTAAAATTGGGCAAGTACACATGCAAACAGATGAGCATCTGTGGAAGGAAATAGCATAGTCCAACAGTCCATTCCCTGCAAAAGGCTTGCTTCCCAGACACAGATGTATTCCTTTTCAATCTAAAAAATGAAGAGGTTTTTTGCTAAATTCTTCTTCTGCCCTTGCCTTCCAGATCATTTAAGTCTGATCTAACTATTTTGGTCCTTGGCTTACTATTACTCTCCAGATAATTTTGAAGTATTTTGTGCTGGTTCTTTTAACCAAAACAAAGTTCTAGCATATATGCATTTTTAATTCAGATTTGTAACTTTTATTCCACAGGATGACAATCTAATGGATGTCTTGCAGTTGCTCGTTGCTCTGATGTCAGAGCATCCCAGTTCTATGATCCCTGCTTTTGATCAGAGGAATGGATTACAGTAAGTTTGAGATTTGTAAGTGGGCAAGAGGAAATACTATTTTGACCATACTGTTGTGTGATAGAATTTGCATGAAATCTAAAACATCCTCTTCAGTGTATGTGCTGCAACCTTAGGCTCCTCGTCATGGGAGATTTTTTGTGTCCAGGTGTTCTTTTGACAAGAGGTGATGCTGGATTTATTATCCATGAGGTCTTTTTTGTTTTGTTTCCAAGCTGTCAGTTGTGCTTAAACAGGTAGTGATCAATTTGAGTTAGTCTATACATTGATGTGAAGTCTTCATCTACCAGCTCTTAGTCTTTAGCCTACCATTCTCACGTAGGTATGAGAACTGAAAGTGGACTGACAAAATTTGATTCAGATCTTTGTTAGCTTTCTTTACTACTTTTTTTTTTTTTGAGGTGTAAAGCATGATGGGACTTTTGTAGAAGAAACATTTCATTTGTTTAAATTTAGTACTTTATGGTATGGATTGTTGGCAATCTCTTTTTCTCAACAAACAGAAAAAAATATTAGCACAGTGAGAGAGAAATGTAGAGAAAGTAGCAAATTCTATGAATGGTCAAAGCAGAAGAGAAAATCTGGTACAAAGAGACTAAGCTCTGACTCTGATTGTGTTGTGCCTCTCAGGGGGTGGTGTCATTATTGAACTTTCCTAATTTAAAATGAACCTGCCTGGAGGTAGTGGGGAAAAAATTGGAACAGGCAAACAAATGTAAGAACTATTCCTAGAAGGTATGTGGAATAGTAACTCTTGCTGTGTAAAGGCAGAGTCTTATTTCATACATTTTGTTGCACCTATTGGTTAACCTCTATTTATACATATATTTTTTTCAGTTGCCCTTTCTCCAGAGACAACATTCAGGCACGTTGATAATTGTTTTCTCCCCTTTTAGTGCTAGGCTGGGGTTTTTTTACCCATTTTCCTCTGCTTTGACTTCATTTGTATGATAATGTATTATGCTATGGATAGTAATAAAAACTCTAAATAATAAAGTGTTTGAATGTCATGTTGGGTCTCCAATGCAATATGTTTGTTTTTATTTAATAACTGGCACTAGACATTTTCTTTTTTATTAACTAGTATATGGGCAAGTCACAATGAATAGTGAGTCCACAGTGAGAAACAATTTTATTTTCCTGTCTCATTTGTTACATTTCTTGCTCCTGTATTGTCTCTAGTCACTTAACAAGTTGTTCATATGCTTATTCATTAATCTACTTTTTGGAATTAAAAGACCAAGTTATTGAAAAAATAATAATTATAAAACTTTATAAATAAGTGGAGTTTTTTAATAAATAAAATGTTAAAATTGACCGATCCACTGAATAAATAATAAGTGTAAGAAAGTATTTTTTCCTGTGCAGTAGGGTAACCCTCATACTGTTTTATCAAAACAAGCAGGGAAATGGATTATTTTGCTTGAATGAGCAGTCTCATGTGCTTGCTTGCTTGATTCTATAGTTGCTGTGGCTGCAGCTTTCTCCAGTATAAGTTTTTTGTTATAGATACCTGTTTTTAATCACTCCTGGGTTTTCACCAAAATTCTACTATAGAAATAGACTTTTATTGTCTTAGGTAATATTTTAAAGTATGTAAAAGTGTAAGAATATGTAATTAGTGGTGAGTGCTCAGTTTTGTATCTATAAGGCCTAAAAACTAGAATGATGACTTCGAACTCTTTACAACTGGCAGATCTAAAATACAGTATTGTAACATGGAATCTTTTCGGAAGGACTCAAGAATCATTGAGATTAATTTATTTTTTTTTTCCCAATGAAGTGATAGAAATTTCCTCAAAAATCTACTCAAAGTGTTTGTAGTAAAGATTGAGTGCTATACTTTGTGTTCCAATATGATTTCATGTAGAAGTAGGAAATTAATCTTTTTGTCAGAGAGCTTAGTATTCTGTGTAGTATTCTGAATTTCACAAATTCAAAGATATGTCCAATACCATGGACCACAGACCAGCTAAAGTCAGATAGTAACATAGTCATAAGCGCTTTACTGTTTAAAAGGTAAAGAATGAATGAAATTAGATGTAACTGGTAAACACCTTTAGTAGTCTTGTGGTTTTATGGGAGGTTTACAAGGATAAAAAACTTGCATTTGTTATTCTTCACATTGATAGAAGGCAAATACTCTTTTTTTTTAACTGCATAAATAAACGTTGATAAAAGATTAAGCAAATAAATTTTTGAGAAACTGAGATTAAATACCAGTCTGATTTTTTTATCTGGGGAGTGGAAGGCATAGATAAAGATGAGATCTGTGCAGTATTACATAATGAATTGGTATTGTCAGAAATATTTAAGGTTACTGGACACTTCCCGCTGTAAGACTGTTGTTCCAATTGTTTATTAATTTACCAGACTTCGACTGGTTATGATGATACTTCCCTTGGTGTGTTTGTTACACTCGCATTTTTTTTTCTTGGAAAAATTTCAGCTAGAACTGTTCAACTTAATGAAGTCTAGTACTTTACTGCAGACATGCCCCTCCCTTCAGCTTTCTTACTAAGCCTTCTTAGTGGAGAATCACAAGTGGGTGTAGAGTATAATCATAAGGACACAAAGAGTAGAAACCATCATAGGTGAAATTCCAACAGTTCCCCCCAGCTTGGGGTCTTTCTCTACCCTTTCTGAGGGAGCAACAGGAGCACAGATGTCAAATGTTAATGCTAGTATTAAATCCCTTTCAATATATCACTATTTCTATCCAGCCAAGTTTATACTAAAATGATTGCTTGCTTAGTTCTCCGGATAAAATATTAGATTAAGACAGTTCTCAATATAGGTATTGCAGCAGCCATTCACAGCATGTTTTATATATTGATATTTGGGAGATGCTGATATTTTATTTAAAATCTCTAAAGGTAACAATAAAGTGTGAAATTACAAACTATTATGCTGCTAATAGGAATGTCATGCAGTTTTGTGTAGTCTCAGTCATTCTTTTAAATTAAGTTCAGGTATAAATTTATTTGCAGTCTACTGTAGTTAATTTGTTTTTCCAAAAATCACTGTATATTTCAACTATTTTAGGAAGCCTTCTTTTTTCTCCTCTTAGGGTTGTCTACAAGCTTTTAGCATCACAAAGTGAAGGCATCAGGGTGCAAGCTCTAAAAGTGATGGGATATTTCTTAAAGCATCTAGCTCCAAAGTAAGTACTGGTTCAGGTCTTAAAACACACCCACCTGCCCCTCCCAAAAGTAAGAAAAGGAAAAAGGTAGGTCTGACATAAAAATGCCATATATTATATTGTTAATATATTATTTTGCACATATATATATGTGCATGTTTATATGTAAAGCAAAAAAAGCTACATTTGAGGGTTAATCACTGTATGTGCTTCACCGAATAGAACCTACTGCTCTTCAAGTATCTTTCAATTTTTTGGTCATTAATACATTTCTTATGTGATGAAATTACTTGTTATTGGCATCTAGTGCCCCGGCATTATCACTTCCTTGCAAAATTAATTTAATACTTACTTGAAATATGGCTGCCTGTTTTTTAAAGTGGTCTTTTTTCCCATATTCCACTCAAATTGGTAGCAAAAATTATACTGATGAGATTGAACTGTGTGTTATTTACTGAGAATGAGATGTAGTATGTCTGAAATTGACCACAACAGTAACTACAGAGATTGCTGTCTGTGGTTGTTTGGTTTTTTTTTTGAGTGAAATGAGGACAAAGATGCCCTTTCCTTAATGTTTATCAGGAAATCCCTGAGGGTGTGTTTCAGCTCTTTGGGCCCATGGGTGAGTGGACCACATTTTTGGAAGAAAGTTAGCTCTCTTCTATCTGCCTTCAGGAAATGACTTGTCCTTCCAGGATTTGAATCCTTGCCCTTTTCCTTAACCAAAAGTGAACGGAACAAAAAAAGACGAGTGTTTCCAGTGATTTAATATTTCTTAAGGCACACTTTTTAAAACTTGTTTTTTTCCCCTCGAAGTAAGTTGAATGTCTATGTTTATTTTATCTTTCCATACCATTTTAGGAGAAAAGCTGAAGTCATGCTTGGACATGGATTATTCTCTTTGTTGGCTGAAAGGCTGATGCTTCAGACAAGCTTAATCACCATGACCACATACAATGTCCTATTTGAGGTAGTAATATGCTATAGTTAGGATCCAATCTTCCTAATTGCTCCTAAGACATTGTTAGAAAATTGCTTACATATTTGTGCTGATATGTTCCAGATGACATTAAACCTTGGTGTGATGCAGCTGAGTACTTTTTTCCTTTTTCAAAGCTCACTACTTGATTTTCCACACCCCCCTTAGCTTGGTTATGCTAGTTATGGACAATTCTAGATAATGAGTAATGTAAATGTCTCAAGCAGACTTTCACATGTATGTGGAATTTTATAATAGCAATGATCTTGCCTTAGAGGATTGTTTTGGTTAGATTCAGGTTTCTCTTTCAGTACTTAAAATAACAGTGTGTAGTTAAGAGAAAGCAAAAAAAAAGTTTATCGAGTAAGATTTTCAGAACAGAATGAAATAAATTATGAAGAAAGGCAAAAAGTAGGGGACTTGGATAATTTTTAGAACCACGGTGAAGAAGAAAACTGATGTAATCCTGGCTCAAACCAGGACAGGTATGAAGAAGAATGTATCAAACTATTTTTCAGTAAACTGTCTTTATGAACCTTGATATGGCTTCTTCTTCCTTGCTAGATTCTGACTGAACAGATTTGCACTCAAGTGATACATAAACAGCATCCTGACCCAGATTCAACGGTGAAGATACAAAATCCTCGTAAGAACGATACATGTTTCTAAGTACTATCATAAGAAAAGTCTGCTCTAAAAAAACCAAGCCCATGAGAAGCTTATTAATTACAAACACCAGTCTTAATTCTGATCTCAGTTTTACATTATTTCATACAAAAGGAAAGATAACGTGCATTTATTTGGTGTTATTTAGGAAGTATGTCTCTGGGTTTTTGAAAGGCATTTTATGTGTCTACATGTGTATGTAGTTCATAACTCACCCTTTTAGGCTGTGTGGTTGTGTTATGAAATGCTTTTTCAAGACTTGAATTCACAGGATACTTTGATTTAATACATGTAAAGGTTCCAGCAAAATTCTGATTGCATTATTTAGTGATGTCAGACTAAATTACCTCAAATTTGGAAACAGCCTTCATCTTAAATTACTCTTGGTATGACAACACTAGATGGAAAGTAGGAGAAATGTATCTGCTCACTGTTTTGGTTAGCTTACTTTATGGGAAGTATCTTGATATGAAACTTTAGATGTCTTTTGGACTAAGAAAATACCGATCTCCTTTCCTGAATTACATGCATTATTAATGTGCTCTCTATATAATAAAATGGACTTACGATAGCTTTGGGAGTTCTTTTTTTTTTTTTTTTTCTGGAGAAATAATAGATTTTTCACTTTCATAGCTGCTTTGTCATTAAATGTAGATCATAGTTGTGGGTTTGCTTCATGTGGGAAATGGGGGAAGAGAAGGGAAGGCAAAGTAGATACAGAGAAAAGAAATCTGGTTGCAGTATGCCAGTTGCCTTCTGGTAAATCCGTATGAAGCAAGAGATGTGAGGAGTTTTCTGTTACTTTTTCTTACGACTTTTGAAGTTGGCAGTCACTGGTATGGTTAATACAGATTATTTGTAGTGTGATGTATGAGTCTGGAATTATCTATTAAGAAGAGTGACTTCTGGAGTACCTTTATAAGATCAGTACTAATACTATCAAATAAGGAATTTTTAAAATAACCTGTACAAGGTGAACTGAAACTATCACAGTGAGTGTGTTCAAGTTACACCCTAATTTATTTACAAAGTTGACTTACTTTAAAGTGGGAAGAACAGACAGTTCCCCACTGCTTTAAAAAGTGGAATGTGCCCACAATTTTGACTGTCTCATAAAAATGTAGAAAACATGATGCTCATAAAGATGAAATGTTATATCAGGCAGCTTTTGTCCTCTTTCTAAAACTTTTTTTTATAACAGAAATTCTTAAGTATAATCAGAAGTTGTTTACACTTCTCAAAAATTCAGTATTAAGGTAGAGCAAAATCTACGTATTTTTTGCATAATTGATTTTATCTTGGATGCAGTGTATTATGTGAACATCCTTAGAAAAAGGTTCTGACAAGTTCTGCTAGCTTGTCATTTGTCATGCAGTAACATTTGTGTTGCCTAAACCTGCTAATAGAAAAAATATATTCAGAATAATTTCATTTGGCTTTCATTCTCTTCATCTGTGTAGATGTGCAAATCCCCCTGATGGTGACCATGTTTGAGAAGTCTTGTAAAAAGGGGTTTGTGTCAGTTGAACCTTCAAGTAGAGATGTGCTTTTTCTCAGTATAAAACTTTTTATGTAGCATCACGTCACTTGTACAAAGAATAACGGAAGCTGTACTGTATTTTATGCTGTGCTTAGTACTAATTTTGTATTGCTCGTGAACTGTTTTACAGAGATTTTGAAGGTTATTGCAGTCCTGCTACGTAATTCTCCACAGTGCCCAGAGGCTTTGGAGGTTCGACGAGCCTTTCTCTCAGACATGATTAAACTTTTTAATAACAGCAGAGAAAATAGGAGGTAGGAGAGTTTGTTATATGCACATGTATACAAATTAAGTAACAAAAATCTCCTGGTAAATTAGAGTCATTAACCAGGTACAGCTTCATTGCTGTTCAGCAAGTTCTATATTCACTCACAGTCTTCAGTACGTTAGAGAAGCTTGCACATAGTAATTGCTTTAAAAATGTTGAATTCCTGACTTAGCAGTTGTATATTTCTAAGATATATCTTGAAATTTTGTTAAATGGCATGTGTGAATTTTGCAGGAGTTTGTTGCAGTGCTCTGTCTGGCAGGAGTGGATGCTTTCTCTTTGCTGTTTTAATCCAAAGACTTCTGAGGAACAGAAGATAACTGAGATGGTGTATACTATATTTCGAATTTTGCTCTACCATGCAATCAAATATGAGTGGGGTGGTTGGCGTGTTTGGGTGGACACACTATCCATCACACACTCAAAGGTGAGTGTTTGAAATAGTTGGGAATTTTTTTTACACTGTGTAATTAGATTTAGAATTTGAAGTGCTGTATCATACAGTGAGATAATCTTGAAGGGAAGGTCAGTAATTAAGTAAAAGCCCGGTATTAGTTACTGGACATAGCTTTCAAATGCTTGACAATTAAAAGGTCATTTTATTGTTTGAACACAAATCTCTCTTTGTTGTTTCTCAAATTGTGATAGTATTAATTTATACTGAAAACTGCACATCTTTTCAAACAGGAGACAATAAAATTTCAGGACCATTTCTGAAGTAAATTTGGGGCTGGTTTTGCCTTGTAGTAATGGCATGAACACAAGGTGGCGCACCATATCTATTCGTAAACAAAAATACCTTTTAGTAACATCAAAAGGCCGTAAAACAAACCAGTAAAAAGCAAAGAAATCAAAGTTAAGACAGATGCTTCAGCTGTTAAGCTGTCATGGAATGCAGGGTGAGAATGCAAATCTTTGTAGTATGAATTCGACTTCCATTCTGTCTGATTTTTTGTTGTCATTACAACCAGAATTGTATCATAGGAGTTATTAGTGGATCTTTGAGCAAGGCATGGAAGTAGGAAAGATAACTGCCCTGCCTTCCTCTGAGTGAGAGTGAGGCAAGTATGGTAAGTTATTCTGGTTTATCAGAAATATTTACTTAATGTAAATGGAATTATAAACTGTATATTTCTAAATATATGGAACATCACGGTGTGAAAAGGACATCCGTGAATCCTAAAGGTCACTTTACCATTTGAAGGAATTGTTAGCATTTCTGAGGTCCTTGATTGTGTGTGATTTTCTCTGAAAAGAAGTTCACCTCTGCAGACAAACAAATACTGTTATTTTGTATCTCTGTTTATTTATCCCATTCATAGCTTGGTGGTGAAATATTTGGCTATGGGGAGACAAATGTAGAAATCTATATAATAAAAGTGTGTGAAATAGTATCATTAAATAGTCACGTAGCTAAATGGAATACAGGTGCAAAGAATTCAGGGCCAGATTTCAACCCTTGCAGAGATCACATTTTAGTTCTTGAAATATCCTTAATTTACTTTTGTGTTGTCTCTGTAGACGTCAAAAAAATGCAGAATTGTAGAATGGTTTGGTTTGGAAGAGACCTTAAAGATCACCTAGTTCCAACCCTCCTGCATAGGCAGGGCACCTCCCACTAGATGTTCCACTAGTCCAGGTTGCTCAAAGCCCCATCCAACCTGGCCTTGAACATGTTTCCTCTCATTCCCCCAAGATGCAGAGGATGTGGGTGGAATAGGTTGTACAATGGCAAGCTGTAGCCAGAGTAAGGATCCTTGATGTGATTTTATAGAAACTGGTGTAATTGAAAGCATTAATGATTGTTGGAAATTGCTGGGGAACTGTCCCTGGGGAAAGATGGAGAGGAGAGGGAAAGAAAACCACCTTTGTACCTCTGTTATAGAAAGCTTTGGTGTATTGAATTTAAAAATTATCTAGCATGTTATCTTAGAGGCTGTAATTCTATTCTTAGGCTCTTTTTATAAGATAATATGATGTTGGAAATCTCATTTAAATAGCTTCTATGTCAAAATGTTTGCATGGATTTTTGATCATTATCCTCTGTGAATTAATGTGGCTAATCAATTATTTTGAGTTCAAAGAGGAAAACCAAGATTTTCATGTGGTGCCACAACTAGACATTAAGAAAAAAACCCCATGTTTTTGGAAGAAAACAAAACAAAACCAACCAAACAAAATTATACAGATAATAGTACTTTTATTGTTTTTTTCCTAAAAGGCTGTATGTTCTGTGTAATACTATGGTGAACAAGCAAATTGCCTGCTTCACTCTGTGTTTCTTATTTTTGGTCCCTGGCTTGCTGGTATAGTGAGGTATCCTAGGTCATAGAAGTAGCTTCCTGTATCACCTTCCCAACTCTAACTTTGTTGGCTTTCCAGTCAAAATTTAATAACTGTTTGTTCTTCTAACCCACATCAGGGGAAGCTGAGCAATGGCAAGGAGTGTAGGCAGAGCTAGCAGCAGAGTGGTGGTGTAGTTTTGAAGGAATCATAAAGATTTTGGGCGTTGGTGCTGATATTATTCAGTTCCAGAAGTCTAAACAAATATGATTAAACAACCAAAGCATCCAGAAACTAACAACAATAGTGTTATGAATGATGATGCAATCATCGAGGATTTTAAAATTGGATTTTTTAACCTTTATTATGCAAGTGCCATTTGAACTTTTTTATAAATAATACATGCAATTTATGCAACTAGCACTATGAAGCTAGATGATATTTCATACCTTTATCTTAATTACATAAGCATAAATTAGGATAAATCACAAAAAACCTTCTTTGTGGTAAAACCTTACTAATCACTTGAAAAAGTAGTTATAAATGGATATTAATATATACATATAATGAGCTTTAATCCCTCTGATTTTACTAATTTGGAATATTCTTGTGTCCTGTTATAGTAATATTGAGCTTCATGTAGATTCACACATAACAGAGTGTAGACATAATTCAGTGGGGAAATTGTTCAATTCTAAGTGCATCTCAGATGTTTTTGATTTCTAGCATGCTTTCAAGGTAATGTGGGAATTATGGGAAGAAAAATATTTCCTTAACAGTACTAAGAGAATAACCAATTTGTGTTTTTATTTCATCTCTAATTGTACTGGGTTACTGCTTACTTTCCTTTTTACAACCCTTTGCGCCATTCTTGCCACTAATTTATAACACTATTCTATGATAAAGAACTAGTACATAAAGGGCTAGTGTTACAAAACTGGATAGATTTTTGCAGAGCTACGCATCAAGATACATGCACCCGCTATAAAAAGCCAAAGAAACTCAATTGCAATTTTATTGTCCAGTTTGATAGATTTCCTGCCATCGTAGTAGCAGGGAAGCTGTTTGTCACTGTAACCCTCTCCTCCAACAGCTGCACAATGTTTTATAAGCAACAACAGCTTTTCTAGCATAATTGCACTACATTGGCTTCCTTGCACTCAGAATTTAGAAGGTGTGAGTATCCTTCTTAAAGCCAAATCTCTTAGTATTACTCCTGTATTTTGCTAATTTTCGTATTATATATTGTTTTAATGTTTTTCAAGTATTAACATTTATTCTGTGGCTTCTAGTTCAATTAAAACATTAATGAAAAAATTAAATCACAGCTTTGGTTTGTTCTGACTGGCCAGTGCTGAATTTAGGGAAGCATCTTAAGAATGTCCGTTTTTTTAAACATTGTAACCATGCCAGTTAGGCCTTAGGTTGTCTAGCTGTGTTACTTTGTAAAAGGCACTAATGATTTTGGGGTTAATAATAGGAAACAAGTAAAGAATGGTGGACAACTTGCCTTTTTGACCTTTCAGCTTCCCGAAGTTTTAAAAGCATATGATTTACACAGTATAATATATGCCTAAATTATCTGAATGTTTTAAACTACTGGGAAGAGCTAACATTTGCTTATTTCAGGCCCTTAAATATATTTGATGTTTATTACTTAAATTTGCTTCATGTTACCATGTGATTCAGTTAAAGAGAAGATATTTGGGTAAATTCTAGTTTGTGTTTGTTTTTGTTTTGGTTTGGTTTTTGTAGTAGCTTAAGAAAATTTTATTATGACTCAGAAATGTTAATGTGTATAAGCTACAGTTTATTACTGTATAAATGGAAAAAATTGTTCACTGATATAAACATGTTTAATGTTGAAGCATAATCTTAAAACATTACTACTGTGACTCTTAACATACAGTGTATTTTAAATAATTGTTATTTTTCAGTCTAAGGAAGTACAGTTGTAATAAACATTAGTGAGTGCTAAGTAAATCTGTATGTTCTTTGGTACACCACTCATTTAATACAAGAGGAAAAAAAATATGGCATGCATAGTGTTTACATGTTATGTTTGCCTGATTTTTCATTACTGTCAGTGGAGGAAAACCTGGTAAAAGCAGCAAAGATTAGGTGGTGGAGGAGTTAATATATTACAGCAATTAAAAACTAATTTGCAGAGAAGCGAACACGGTTCAGTCATTTTACAGAGTAACAGGCCATCAGGATCTCTTGAGTCCAAATCCCAATGGCATTCTTGAGACATCAAGGATGGTTTTGTTTCCATTTTTTATCACTATCTTGAAGAAGGCAGGGTCTCCTATGTTGCTATGTGCAGGCATTTTAGCTCTAGAGCATTTTGAAGGCTTCAGATGTTCTCCAGTCCTCTGAAAAGTGTCTGCATTGCCCTGTGGGGAAGTAGAGGTAGGTAGCCAAGAGGGCCATTGTACTACTGCAGATTTTTGGTTTTCAGCTGAGCCCAATGTGTCAATGAAGCAAAGCTGAGGGAGATGCAAATTAAGTACCACACTTAAAATACTTAAATATGGGGGAGTGGAGGGTGTCACGTGAGTATTGAGAGCATAAGGAACCTGGGAACTAGAATGTGTAGCCTTCTTTAAAGCTGTGTACTCACCAAGATGCGTGGTTGCCATGCAATCCTTCACCTTTTCTAGGTGTTTCCATGCTGCAGCTTCTTTTGCAGTAGGTGTGTGGACAGGCTTTTCTTAATCAGTGCCTCAGAAGAAAGTATTCTCATTCTTCAGCAGGCAGAATAGTTGGAAGGAGGGATCTGTACCACTGGTGGTCTTTTATTCATGCATCGTGTATGCCTAACATGGGGCTACTCCATCTCATTATTCACTTCATTTGAGTGAGTGGAATGTCATGAATGAAGCTGCAGGATCCTAAAATTTGCCTAATTCAAACTGGAAGAAAGGTATGAAATAAAGTATAGGAATAGAGCAAGCAAGGTAAACTGAGAATTTATGAAACAGGAAAGACGAAGATACGTAGAGCAAACCACATAGAAGCCTTAAAAGAAGAGTGTAATAGAGGTTTACTACTGATTGAGAAGTGCCAGAGATGTCAAAAAGAAGAAATGGGGAAACATTTACAGGGGAAAGAGCTGATGTGTAAAGAGGCAAACAGCTATGA